AGGCAGCACCACTGCAGCACCACCACCTCGGAGCAAGGAGGGACAGTCCCCGCGGGCACAGGAAGTGCTTTTCCTGCTCTCCCTCTCTGTGAAAAAACAAAGCCAGCACCCATCTTCATACCCCCATTAGTGAAAAGCTGCCAGTCAGCTCTATGTGCTGAGAAACCAAAAAGCACATGACAAAAAAGTTGTATTTCAGAGAAGTGGGGGCACAAATACAGTGTTGCTTAATGTGGTATTAGACAATCAAAAAGAAAAAGTGAAACGTATTTATAACCCTTTGGGAAGAGGGCAGAAAAGGGATGGGAAGTGCTCAGCTAGATACTGAAAAGCAGTGTTTGTAAACCAGCCCTAACTCCCAGGATGTCCGCTGAAGACAGAAGGGTGCAGGTGAACCTTGGTTTTCCATCACGAGCCAGAGCTTGTCCCCAGGCAAAGGGACATCTCTTCCTGTCACAGCAGACGGTGGTGACTGAAGCTAGGGGACTAGATGGTCCTGCTCTGTGACTAGATGGTCCTGCTCTGGCAGGGGGGTTGGACTCGATGACCTCGGGAGGCCCCTTCCACCCCCTAACATTCTGTGATTCTATGGGGAGGAGACTCTGTGCACTGGAGGCATGAAGAAAGTGTTATTTGTCTACAGAGAATATTAAAAGTAGTGAGGCTGTTGGACAGGATCAAGCCAGGCCAGTGAGATGTAGAGTTAGATGAATAAGAATAAGAAGACATGCCTAATTCTTTTCCTTGAGGAGTTATTTCTGACTCCAGTGGAACCCCTGCACCTCTGTTTCAGGGACTCAGGCATGAAAACAATCATCGAATGACTGACACAACGAGCTACTCTCAAAGTCAGAGAAACGTTCACATTTTTGCTGCCTTTCTAACATGAAGCAAACTGGACACTAGACACACCATGACACTGTCACAGGAGGCTTTGTCTTGTGTACACAGTTCACAGGTAGTTTTGGGGAGAAGGGAAAACATAAGGCTTCACCAGGCACTACTCTCCCCATCCATCCCTGTTGATTCTGCAAACCCTAAAATAGTGATTTACATACTGTGCAGTAACCCAAATACTTGATCTCATTCTTTAGAAAGCCTGAAAATAGAAATGTGCGGGTCTCAATTTAATTAGTAGACAATATCTTTGAGAGGATAATTTGCCAACACACATTTTTAAAGTGCATTTCTTCCTTTGGATTTAAAATGTTTATGTTTACATTTCAGCAAAGGAGTCCTTTATAGTCTATAGAATTGTAGATACAATGCTGGGTAAGCTCAGTAAATAAATTATGGTTGTTTTACATTAGGAAGCTTTATAGTTTTTGTTACCTAAAACTATTTTGATGCTGTTTCAGCTCTTGCATTACAGAGACATACCACCGATTTATTTTAACGCTGCATCTCTGCATCCCCATCACCATACATACCAGAAACAGAGCAGCTGAACCAAACTTTTGCAGGCCAGAGCTGCCTGAATAGTATTCACTGGAATTTGGGATGCAGTGGAGAACCTGGGGTTTGTCCTGCAGGACACTCTAGACCTCCCGCGTGTGCCAGTGTCAGGGCCAGGACAGGGGCATGGGCCCCTGGCCCGCCAGACTCTTCACATCATTAACTTGTTCAGCTGGGAGAAATACACGAAGGTTCAGGCATTCTGAAAAGTCCTAGAGATGTAGGAAGGGAAAAGCTAAAACGGAGAGAGACGCCAGTGCACAGTGGGTGCCTCCCCTGCACGGCTGCGTGTGCACGACACGCGTCCCGCGCATCCCACCTCTCGGCACAAGGCTGTGCTGGAGGAACCACTGCTGCTGTCAGCAAGCTGCAGGAAGGGCTTTTGAGGAGGTTCTGACAAAGCTTTGAGAGTAAAAATCAGTGCAGGAGAATAACAAGTATGAGCCTCTTGGGGGCCTGTCATTGACTTCCCATTAGAACATCTCAAAAAACGTTTACTTCACTTACATTAAACGAAAGCCTCTTTGTTCTGAACAGTCAGACAAGTTTATACAGCACAGGAACAGCTCCTGTTACTTCCTTTTAGTGTGGCTTGCTTATTGTCAACACCTACTAATATACACATGAATAAAAAACATTACCACAGTTGTCACAAAAACATACCCTAAGTGAGCAAAACTGACTCCTGATATTAACCTCCTGTGCTGATTTTCAGCAGCACCTCTTGGTCTGCTCCAGCACAACTCCGCTACAACAGCGCCAAGAAGGAAGACAGGAGTGCTCATTTCTGTGTGACACCTCATAAGCATCCCATGGATAACTTAATTACATAGACACATTTTGGGAAACATTCTAAAATTTTTAAATATGCTTACATTCTCAAGAATTAAACATTTTTCTGTCTTGTGGGTGTATTTTATCTTTAGTGATAAAATCCCCGTCAGCAATTTTGGTACCTAAATCCAAGGAGTTACACAGAGCAAACTGAGCAAAAGAAACCCAACTCCAAGTCATTTGCCAGCACAAGAAAAACAGACACCACCCAGAAAAAAAAGGACAGGATATGAAAATACAAAAAGGAAAATATTAATCAAATTTAGCAACTTCAAGTTAATTCTGAGAAACTGAAATTTAAAAGATTTATAGGGAGAAAAATATTACATACATTCCAAATATAATGTGGCTGTCTGGGGTGCTGGCATGGCAGCTAAATGCTCTGCCAGTCTCCCAGAATTGCACTCAGAACAGGGAAATATTTCTCAAATCTCTGACGTTTGGGCAAGCTCACTGACACCTATAACCAGTTCCCTGAGACTGAGTGCACAATACAGCCTTTTTAGCAGTGGGCTGTGGATAACATTCACAGCAACAACTCTAAGCAAAAAGTTACCAAACAGTTAGGGGCAAGACAGATGTGTTTTACCAGAAGAGGGCAAAGATGGTTTCTCAGCTTCCCCATCTCACACAGGTGAGTAGCAGTATGTGAACAGCAGCACCATTTAAACAGCCACCGTGAGGAAAAATACTAGTGTCAGACTGCAGAACATTTCACTACCCTGCACCCAAACCCACCTCATTTACATGTGTGCCAAGAAAAAATACTGTATGTTCCTTTAAATTAAAAAAGAGAGAGAAAAAAATTGCCTTGCAAAGGCCCCCAGTGGTGGAGGTGACCTGGAGACCGTGACCACCTGAGCAGCCGTTTTGTCAGTGTTTTCTCTCAGACTGGCAGGGGATGCTGTTTCTGGAGATGATCTTTGTGCTTTGGTAAACGGGTGGGCACGTACGGAAGCACGGGCCGATGGTGTAACTGAGCACTGGGTTGCCAGGAACAAGGTGTATGCCACACGATGGGGTCGTTACGAACACGTACCTAAAGTCTGTGGGGCTGATCTGATCATTGCATTTCCCCACTTCCTGCACCCTAACAGGGAAGACTATTTTGCAAAACACCAAAGTGTTAGCTGCTAGTCTTAGAGGTTGTGAATCTTTCCAAATTATTCAATGCAGAATCCATACAGGAAGTTAGAGTAAGCCTTAGATGAACAGCCAAAACTGCCAGACTCCTGAAGGAGTGGTTACAGACCCTGCTTCAGGAAGGGGAACTGGCTTGGGAGGCCTCCTCTCCCTTCCTCACCCCTCCTGTCTCAGCTCACCCCTCTCCCAAGTTCTCTGCTCCAGCCCGCAGCGCTCCGGGGGGGTGAGCCAAGGCAGGCGGGCAGCAGGGCAGGAGCCTCATCCCCTGACAAGCAGACTGACACTGCTCCCTCCATCACGAGCACTGATTACTTTCCCACCCTGCAGGACTTTTCAGCAAACTTGTTAAGCAGTTCCTACATCTGATTTTCTTCTAGTCCTCAAGGTGTTTGGTTTTTTTTCTTACCATGTTTACAATAAGAAACTGTTGTACTGCCTCTATTACACCCCTTTTCCCCCTGCCCCCTGCCAATTTCTTCTATGTTCTGAGGAACACAAAATACACACAGAAGTTGGAAATTTCATAAACCACGTCACTGATATTAAATCTAAATTTCTACCAGCAAAAAGGCTGTGTTTCCATAAGTGACACTACTGAAATGACAGTATGGAAATGGTACAAATAAACATCCGTTTCCTTCATCACAGCTTTGCATCCATCATTACACACTGCACTTTGCCTGCTGTTTGTCTTCCTTTTCAAACACTGACATCAGTAACATTGCAAATAATCCCACATACAGAAGAATAAAGAAGTGATTAGAAGAGGTACTAACCTTCACTGACAGGAGTGGCACAGCCTTCAAGGTTCAACATTATATCATCATCTTTGTCATCTGCACCAGCTTCCAGAAGCATCCAGCTCTCAACATGGTCACTTTCTGATATCAAGCTCTCCTCCTCTGAGCTATCATCTATGACCAAGATGTCTTGGATGGCATGAGGTGCCGCAGGGCTAACGGGGTAGAGCTTCCCACTGCTGCTTTTCCTTCGCCTTGAAACATCTGTGCTTGATCCAGCAGGATACAGGGTGTTACATCCAGTAGCTTCGGCATGATTTGGGGTGGAAGATCCTGGGTGGATACGTACTTTACCTTGAGCTAAAGACCTTGTTGACTTCTTTGCTTTGCTTTTGTATATGCTGTCTTCATCTGGTGTATCAGACAAGACAATGATCTCAGAGTCATCTAAAGTCTGAGTGCTGCAATCAATGAATTCAGTGATTTTCTTGTCTTCATACTGTTTTTCACTTAGAACTGAATTATGACTCCTGACTCCTGCAACATCACCTTCTTCATCCATTTCCAGCACGCTAATGACTTCTTCAAGATTTTGGGAATAGTGGATCTGGCTGTAGAGATGAAATTCCACCTCACTGTCAACACTCTGCTCACTGGATGACTCTTCGTGATAAAGTTCATCTTCATACACATCATTATCCTCAGTGTCTTCATAGCCAACAAACATTCTGAAAAGTGAATAGTCTGTAGCTACAAAAAAACGAAAGGTTGTATTAGAATGGTTGTGAAAGTGTCCCCAAAGCCATCATTCAAATGATACCTTTGGTCTTTCTGAAATTGCTAGGGTTCATTGCAGACCTTTGTGTATGGAAGATAAAACTGAACAGACTTAACAGCTCCAGGAATCAATGCTCAAATCCGTAATAGCACCATCTACTTAAGCGTGCGTCTCCGTTGATCTTAACTACTACTTTAACCTCCACAGCAGTTGTGCATAACGTGCTCTCAGCTTCCACAGCTCCCCTCCATTATGGTTCAAAACCAGGGTACCTGCGTGGATCAGGAGCCAAATGAGTGTCTGAATCTGAGTTCTGATAGTGCCAGCAAGTAGTGTTAATTCTGCATATTCTGCAACCTCTTTTACTCAGTAACATCTTATATACGTACCTGAAAGAGCAGGGAAGAAAGATTCAGGAATACTTGAGAGAAGTAACCTGGTGCCTATCTACACCTGAGCTGCAGAGCCACCTGGATTAGCACTTCAGAACGAAACCCTATGATGAGAAGTGCTAGGGCTTGATACAGAAGCACACAGATATGCTCTGCACAGACTCAGTGAAGGCAGTGTAAATAAAAGAATAGCAAAGCTGATGTTCAAACCTGCAGCCTCCATACAAAGTAGCCTGTCACACTGTCCCATCAGGACTTACGAACCAAGTTACAGTGCCATGAAAACACCACTATGGTTCTCTTAGACCCCAGCAAGATACGCCTGCAAACAGTATCTGCCCGGCTCAGCGATGACAGCTCTGTGCTGCTGTCAGCTAAGCAATAATTATCTACAACCTTAAACAGGCTTGTTAGTGGATCTAGGACTAAAGCCCCCATTTCCTTTCTCCTGTACTGAGGAATACTGTTTTTTATACAAGACCTGGCTGATGGGACAAAGGGCACCCTCAGCGAGTTTGCAGATGATGCAAATTTGAGGGTAGTGGTTGATCCAGCAGATAGTTGTGCTGCCATTCAGAGGTACCTCAGCAGGCTAGAGAAGCAGACACAGACTATCCTCGTGAAGGTCGAGAAAGGGGAATGCCAGGTCCTGTACCTGGGGAGGAGACAGGCTAGGGGCCACTGCTTGGGAAGCAGGTTTGCAAAAAAGGACCTGGGGATGGGACAAGCTGACCATAAACCAACCTGCTTCAGCGACAGAACGCCCCCTGTGCTCCTGCAGAACGCGGGCAGCAGGGCCAGGTTGTCCCTGCACAGCACCCGGGACCACGACAGGAGCAGTGTGCACAGCTCCAGGCCCTGCAGCACCACGGGAGCTGCGACACGGCAGAGCCAGTGTGGCAAAAGGCCACCAGAACGATGCAGGGATTGGAGCGCCTGTCCTACGATCACTCTTGAGGAGCCTGGGGGGATCTTATCAAGGCACATAAATACCTGGGGTGCAGGATGTACCACAGAGCCTGGCTCCTCCCAGCAGTGTCCAGCCACATGACGAGAGGCAACAGACAAAAATTAAAATACAGGGAATTCCCGTTAAACATAAGAATAAAAAATCTTTTACTCTGCTGCCCAGAAAGGCTATGGAGGCTCCACTTTTAAAGATGATCAAAACCCAGCTGGACATGGCCCTAAGAACTGCTCTAGATCACCCTGCTTTGAGTCAAGGGGCCTGGATGACATAATTGCCAGAGGTTCCTTCCAGCCTCAGCTGTCCTGTGATCCCAGTGCAGTGCTCAGCGTCTCTAGAGCTCATTCCCTGCTCTCCAGCAAGACAGAAAATCCAGAGACATTCTAAAATTACTTTGAGTTTGACACAGGAGTGTCACTCCCGTGACAAAGAGTTACTTTGACACAGGATACCTTACTTCATTATGTGACCACATCATGCGTGGAGGAGAGGAAAGGGAATACTTCCTCTGAGAAGTTTATCTTTGTGTCAGTGTTACAGGTACTACTGGGGAAGCCAACAAGCATTTGTAGACATGAACACCACGACTTGGAGTTCAGTTTCTGAACTGTGGAAGCAAGTTGCATGGTATTGTTAAAATTCATATACTGACACACAAGTACAAAAATTTAGATTTGGGAGCTTTGTACAGAAGTAATCTGTGTGGTAACAGCATTTAAAGAACATAAAGGCTTTAACTCTGACAGCTTTCTGTGTACACCCTGCCAGTCCTTCCCTGATCATGACAGACTTGACCTTGTTTGTATTCCTGTTGTAGTGGAAGTCAAACTAATGAGGAAAACACTTGTCCCACAAAAATAACCAAAGCAAAACCACACAAACCATGAGCACGGCAGCAGGAAAACGCAATGCTTTGCTTACTGACCATCCATCTGCTGGACTCTTTTCTGTTCAGGTTCCCAGATCTGCATACATCCTTCAGTCACACCTCACTCATTCCCAGCTGAGATATCATCCAAAGACCATCAGAACCCTACTCACCCCCACCCATGCTCAGCTCCACTGGCTCCTAATATGCTCTTGCTGGTTCTAACTAAAATACAGTCCTAAAACTTAACAAGTGGAGGTTATAAAATCTGTTTTAAAAGTTCTCCTGTCCACAGGACAACAACCTCCTGGAAACTTTAATGCTTGCCAACACGGAGCTCTGCTGAGCAGCACAATGTGTGGCAGCATGACCTGAGGATAACATGAATATGCCTGCATCTGCCAGTCTCTGCCTCTCTCATCCAGATTCTTAGGCAAATACAATACCTATTATGCCAAACAAAATATGAAAGAATGAGGTCAGAACTTGTTGGTAAGAGATAAAATAAACCTATTTTATACCAGTATTTAGTTTTAGATGCTGTAGGTAGGGGGGAAAAATAAAATGCAGGTCAGATGAATGGTTGTAGGCAGTAAAAAAAAAAAAAAGTTTTAGAGATATTAAAAGAGCCAGCTTAATTAAAGCACTCCTTCCATCCCATTCTGTCACCCACTGGACAGTTACATAAAATACATTCCTATGGCTGAAAACATGCAGCTCAACAAGGCTAATGGACCACGAGTGCCAAAGAGCACCCAAGGAGCTGACTCGGGGACACTTCACCGTGAGGACAGGAGTAAGAGACTGCATGGCACTACACTTACTTGGATCTGTACTCCCCAGAAGCTCAGGTCAAACAACAGCTCCTCCTCCTCTTAGGCCCACGCACAACTAGAACAATGAAGAGTTCTTCCTCTCACTCAGCTCTTCCTCAGGCCACTGAGGAACAAGAAACACCAAACATCAGCAGTCTGAAGACACCCAGTTCCATGGATCACCATCCTCAAACTCAGACAGCAGCTGTGCCCCACCTCTTCATCACAGAGTGAGACACCCATTTCATGTGTCTGGTGTCAAAGCAGACGGACACAGAGGGGGACCTCAACAAAGTTTTGCTGGCTTTTAGACTGTTAAAGTGAAGCAGTCTCTTACTGTGGCCATACTAACACTCAAACAGAGAAAGACCTCTCTGACTCCCAGTCTTCAGCAATTTAGATGGCCTCTCAGCAGTGAAAGCTTTAGACTATGGGCAACTGTTGCTTTTGCTACCGACTGGACTATGCCAAAAATACTCCCCATGCTTGGGTGTGAAAAACACATTAAAAACAACAGACCTGTGAAGACTGATTTGGTAGGTAACATAGGCTGCAGAAAGCACAGCACATCACTGATGCATCACTGTTTGGAATGGCTTTGGAATATCACAGTTGGGAACTCTGGCTTATAAAAAACTTAAATCCTAAGCCACGGGACAACTCTGTCCCTTCACCAAGAGGAATCCTATTTGTACCTGAAGCCAGAGCACAACCTTCCTTGAAAGTTCCGGGCTGCCTCTCTGGTAGGCCCTATGCAAAAGCAGTTCAGGCAAAGGGCTACCTGTGTTACAGCAAAATTCAAAAAAATCACAGCTATCCACATCTCTTTTAACAATTTCTGAACAAAACTCCAGATGGCTGTAGTGAGAAATGGCAGGAGATAATTTCCCCACATCATTTACACAGGCTGGCAAAACGTCTGCTCCATGAAGAGAGCCAGCACCCAGGGGTGGTGGTCACAGGGCTGGCAGCAGCAGGGGGAGGCTGGGTGGGAGGTGCTGATGGTGGCCACTGGCCGGGGTCAGGGGCACGAGCATACTGATCCAGCTCCCACAGCAGTTTTCAAGCTGTGTGCAGGCAGCTACCTCCTCACCCAAAATCTGAGAGTGCTCTGGACACTCAGGTGTGAGGCCAGCACAGAGGGGGCTTTGCAGAAGGGCCAGCAAGGTGCCCAGGCAGTCCTTCCTGTGCCAGTCCTGCCTCAGGAGCCTGGCCTCTCCTGCAGCTCCTCGCTGCCTCTGCTGAACTTCGTCACTCCTGCTGCTCCTGCTTTTTCAACTCCTGACATCTTTTGGAGCTCATACAGAAACATTCTCCTCTCTTCCTCTGAAATATGCCTTCTGCTTATTTTCAAATATTGAGATTTCTTAAAAAACTCTCAAACAAACAAAAAATGGAATAGCAAAAAATTTGAAAATATGACTTTTCAGACACATGTACTATTCCCACCATAAATTATCAGTAGATTCCAAAAATTTCTGTGTTTCGCTCTCTGCTTGATCTGGTTGACAGTAATGTCAAGTCTAACACTTTATGAGACAGACCACATGGAAAACACAACAACAAATGCATTCCATGCTGTCCTAGGGGGTAAAGATAAGACAGAACCTTATAATAAGACTCACTGTTACACTAAAATAACAGTGAGTTATTTAGAAACAGAAAGGCCTTCTGAAGAAATTGCAACAAATTCCTAAAACCACAGGTATCTCTCAGAGCAGAGGTTCAGATGTCAGCATGGTTGAAGGCATCAACAGACTTTACAGCTGCGTGCAGACAAGACTTTTCCTCAGATCTCTATGTACTCGTATTTGTGACATGGCTTGTACTTCAGGCTGTTGAGATACTGCATGGGTGCAAACAACACGAAATTGGTACAGAACTGGAGTGTTAAATGCAGTGAAATT